TCCCCTAGCCTCCCTCCCTGCCCCGCCCCCACCACTCACAGCCTCCTCCGCCCCCAACCCCCCTAGAGCCTTATCTTGGTTTTCAGATAAGAGCCCCCTGGGGCTGGCTCCTTGGCCGAGTGGTTAAGTTCGGGCACTCTGCTGCGGCGGCCCAGGGTTTGGATCCTGGGCTCAGACATGGCACCGCTCGTCAGGCCACGTTGAGGCGGCATCCCACAACCCACAACTAGAAGGACCTGCAACTAAGATATACAACTGTGTATGGGGTGGAGGGGTTTGGGGAGATAAAGCAGAAAAAAAAAAAAAAAAGAGCCCCAGGACTTGGCCATGGCAGAAGGAAGTACTATGTGAGGCTTTGTGGCCCTGCTGAAAGGGTGGGTGTTGGACGTTCAGAATGGGGGACCTGTGGGAAGCCAGCCTGGGGGACTTTCCACCCCTCTCCACATCCCTGCCCCTCGGTGAGTAGATAACACAGACAAGATGGCACCAGATAAGCGAGATGCTCTTGGTGGCACCTGGTGTGAGTCCAGCTGCTGCACTTCCCCTCTGCGTGGCCTCCGGTTTATTTAACCTCTCTGTGACCCGAGTCTCCATCCATCCAAGGGACTAGTCCTAGCCCCTCCTTCCAGGGCTGTGGGGACAACCGGGTGATGCCACATGTAAGGTACCTGGCCCAGAGCACAGACATTAGCCGCCATTTTAACTTCTGGCTCCTTCCTATCGACTGAACCGCTCTCTCGAGGAAATCACCTTTAATTTCTAGATGGAGCCTGAGGCTGGGAGACTGAAGAACAAAAACCAGCCATGGGGGAGGACATGGAGCCAACGGAGCGTTAATCCTTAGTGAGCCTCTGTGGAGACCCACTCATCCCGGGTACCGTTGGGCGCCTCCGGGATCAACTGCGCAGTTACTTCTTCAAACACTGAGAGGCAGGGCTGTGGTTTCGTTTCTGCTGGGTGGTCATAGGTGTTAGCCCCATTTACAGAAAAGAACGCCGAGGCTCAGAGAAGGCACGGAATTACCCAGGGTCACAGAGCTCGTAACTGGCTGCTCAGGACCCTGTGGGAGTCCAGGAGGAAATACAGATTGTGACAGATCGTGACTTGCCTCCCAGCTGGAGGAGCTCCTGTCATCTTTCTATCAGTGGAGGGTGGAGAACACTGTCAAGGTCTCAGCAAAGCAGAGAAATCTAGAAACAGTTCTGTGTTGGGTGTGAAAGAGCCAATTAGCATGCAGGGCAGTGTCAAGGGCGGTCCAGTGGAGGCTGGCAGCTGTGGCTTGTCATTGCAGTCACCCTAGGGAGAGATCTGGGGCGGTCAAAGACACTCAAGGAAGGAGGTGACCATCATTAGAGTAAGAAATATGCATTCTGCTGTGGCCCTGGCCCTCTGTAGGTCTCTCTTACAAAAAGTCCATCCTTATTATAGGCATCCTTATTATCTTCTATTTTGTTCTCTTGTATTTTATGTGGAAAAAAAAAAAGGTCGGTGGCGTTTTCACTGATGGGTCATGACCCACAGTTTGAAAAACACCAGCTCCTTCCTGACACTCGGGGATGGAGAAGGGCATTCTGCTGTATGCACGCGCTCTGAACAGGTGACCTGGGCATGTGTCCCCCACACATGCACCACGTGTGTAAAGAAAGCACTTGCCTGACAAAGACACCGCCAGTCTGGTTTCGGCTCAGGAGGGCACCGGCCCCGGCTCTTGCCCTGGCTTGGGGTCGAGGGTCCAGGTTTGCTCTGTCGGCCTGCCCAGGGGCACCACTGGCTCCGGCCTCTCCCCATGCTCTGCTCCCCCAGGCTCTGGCAGGGAGGCCCTGGGGGCCACACTCACCACCCCCCCCCCACTCACACGTGCCCACTCACGACGCTCCACAGCAACTCTCTGACACCACCTGGGTGTCCCACAATTGAGTTCTGGCACTGACTGCCTGGAGTGAGTGCAGACCCCACAAGTTAAAGGGCAGGTCCCCAACAAGACTGCCCTCACTGCAGGTGCCAGACCCAAGTCGGGGTCCCTGGGCGACCTACACTTCTGTCTGACTCGGTACAGACATGACCCCCCTTCAGGTTTGATAATCCGCTAGAATGACTCAGAAGGCTCCCCGAGGGCACCCTACTGGACTTCAGATGACCGTTTTATTATCAAGGATTCAACTCAAGAGCAGCTGAATGAAGGGCGCAGAGGGGTGAGGTCAGGGGGAGGGGGTGCAGAGCTCCCACACCCGCTCCTGGTGGAATCTGGGCCCCTCGCCCTCCCGCAGGGCAGTGTGTTCACCAACCAGGGAGCCCCACTAAGCTTCAGCGTCCAGGGGTCCGACTGAGTTTCCTTTCTCGGGCGTGAGTGAGGACATCATTGGCCACCTGCTTGAACTCCACCCCGGGTCCCTCTCCCCTCCCCCGAGGTTGGGGGTGGGGCCACAAGTTCCAGCCCTCTAATCACGTGGTGGTCTTTCTGTGGCCAGCCCCCGCTTTGAAACTGAGAGCCACAATGAGTCACCTGTTAGCATAAACTCAGGTGTGGTCAAAAGTGGCTCTTGGTGCATAACACAATACATTCCTGTCACTCAGGAAATTCCAAGGGTTTTTGAAGCTCTGTGCCGGGAACTGGGGGCAAAGACCAGATGTATTTTTTATTATGCCACACTCACCCACACGCCATTCTCTCTTTCTCTCACACACACAGTCACATTCCCTCACACGCTGCTGGTTCCCCCTGGCCTGGTAGGCAGGAAGAATTCTGAAGAAGACGCCAAGTGGCCTCTTTCCTTTGAAAGACAGTGAGTTCCTGGGGTCAGGCGAGGTTCAGGTGAACTCATCAGCTCAGCGATGCTGCAGCTCAGAGCTTGGCGGGGCTCTGCCGGGAGCCCAGGTGTCCCATCTGAGCTGATGGAAGGGGCGCAGGAGGCCTCCAGAGGTGAACCGACCTCCTGCTGGGTCCCCTAGGGAGGGCCGCCTTCCGGGGGGCCGGGGCGGTGTGCAGCCAGCATCCCGCCTGCCTCCCGTTTCCGCCTCCCTCCCGTCCCCCTGCATCCACTCCGGGTTCTCATGCTCTCTCCACTCTCCAGCTCCGGGACGGCAGCTGGGAAACTCATTTCCAAATGCAGCTCAATGACTAATAGGTTCATTGTGTCGCTGCTTCCAGAGGGACACACACTCTCACACAGAGCAAGGGACCCACCCTCTCTGGCCGGGTCCGGGGGTAATTGCGTGCTCAGGATCAGGGTCTAGAATTGAGGGGCCTGAGCTCAAATCCCAGCTCCAGCACTTACCAGGCTCGTGGTCCTGGGCATTACTTACCTCTCTGCCTCAGTTTCCTCATCTATGAAATGGGGATAATTATAGCACCCCCCCCCCATCACCTTAATAACAGAATTAAGTAAGATCACGGGATCTCGTGAACCCGGGTGAAGGCTTGGGTGGACTAGGGAGGCAATATGGTTAGCTGCTACTGATCAATAATAACGATGTCATTATAGTGTTTTATTAACGATGATGATATTAGCCATTCTAACAGCATAGCAATATGGTGATAATAATAGTAATCAATAACAATGGCAGAGAATTTGGAGCATCACCAAAGGGGAGGGAGGGCAGTGTGCCTGGGTGGGCAAAGGGACGATGCCATCTCGTTGCTCCTCCAGAGCCTCACGCTTGGGGCCACGTCCTTGGGATATCCCAGAGGCCCTGGTCCCCAGCCTTCCCTCAGCATCTTGGTCTGGACTCCTGGTCATTCAAACTCCAGCCTGGGTGCTTGGGGCCTGAGTGGGAGAGGCCTAGACCCCGGGACGGAGATGAGGGGGAGAGGGTGGGGGGACACTGTGGCCAAGTCCTTTCTCAGGAAAGGAAGGCGTGTCCTTCCCCGGCTGAGGGACACCCTTCCTCCTCACCCAGGGGAAGCTGTGCCCCAGGAGGCTGGGAGATTCCAGAAGGGTCTGTCATCACCTGGAAGGAGGGATGAACTGGGGTGGGGCCAGCAGAGACTAAATAGGACAGTTTGAAAACAAAGTTTGTGGGAGGAAGCAGGGGCCTCCTCCCCATGATGGCAGTGGGAGGGCACTGCCCCTGGGGCGCTGTGGGGTGCGACCGGTGCAGAACTTCGGAGGCACAGTCCCTCGTGCTGAGCGGAACCATGGCCCAGAGCAGAAGTAGAGGGGATGTGTCTGTGGACATGCGGCTCTGCTTTAGACTTTGGGTCATGCTTGGTTACTGGAACGCAGATACACCCTCTGGCCCAGAGGCCTGGTTGCTCAGACTCGAATAAATCCACACGAGGAGAAAAGACGCGACGTGCCTCACCGGGTGGGACCTGTGGTACAGGGAGGGTTTCTTCATCAACAAAGCTCGCGTCATCGGGTTGTCGAGAGGATGGAGCAAGTGCAATATATGCAAAGTATTCGTAACATTTCCTGTCACAGAGAAAGCTCTGTATTGTTATTAGCTGTTTTTATTTCCATGGGAAAAAAAAGTGTGAATTGACTAATGTCTGTGATTGTTTCCAGCAGCCTCCCCCAGAGCGTGCGTGCCGGGCTGTGAGTTGAAATTCAGCCTCACTCCTGTACATTAGAGTTTGTCTAAGTTTGGACCCTGGACCACCACCTGTATCAGAATCAGCCGATTCTGGACACTCTCCCCCACACACCGGACCAGCATCTTGGGAGGGGGGTGGGGCAGTGGGGGAGGGACACAGGAATCTCCATGTTAAATATTCTCTGCCAAACTCCGTGTCTGTAGCACAGAATTCTTTCATAAACATTGATTTAATTGACCCCCGTCAATGAGCAAGTGAGAAATTGAGGCTCAAGGAGTCAGAGGACATGGGCCAGGTGACACATGGCTCTTGGGGCAGAACCCCCAGTTCTCCTGAGGGATGCTTCACTGCCCCCTACCTGCCTCCTTGTTTCTGGAACATTCCAGATGACTTCCATCTCACTGTTGTCCTTCTAACCTCCACCCAAATCTTTGATTCACGGAGTCCCCCGCTTCTTCCATTGCAGACGTTCCTGGTCCGCCGGGACAGCAGCTCGAAGCAGCTGGTGCTCTGTGTCCACTTCCCTTCCCCGAACGAGAGCTCATCCGAGGTACTCGAATACACCATTAAAGAAGAAAAATCGAGTAAGTACCCGTCTTCCTGTGCTGGCCTCTGACCACACAGCAGTAGCAGATGCTACACCCTGTAACCACAGATGCGCCTCTCGGGCTGGAGGGGTTTAAATTTAGAAGAAGGGGGAAAGCTCTCAGTCTGCTGAAGTCGTTTGGTCAGGCTTGTTTTAAACTCAGTTTATCACTCAAAGGCCATGTGAGTTTCCGCTCGCCCATGTCGTGGCTTCTTGGCTCTGCTTCCTCGTGGCCACTGCGAAGTTTCCCGTTGTTAGCTCAGGCTGGAGAAAGGGAAGAAACGGAGAGGAACTGTCTGGGCCCCTGGGTCCTAGCGACAGCTCAGCACACGCTCAAACCATGATCTTGGACAAGTCGCTTAAACTCTTTGAGCCCCAGTTTTCTCATCTGTTAAATGGACATAATAGTCACTTCCTGCCTGTATCACAGAGCCTTTGTGAGGCTCAAATGGCCACACCCTTTGAAAGACAAAAGTTCTGTGTGTGCACAGGGCTGCCAGGAGCAGGCTTGGGCCTCAGTGGAAACATGTTTTGGGGCCCTGGGTCTAGGGTGGGTTTGTACTGATATGCACTGAAAGGGTTTGGGCTCCCACCTCCTCTCATGGGCCATGCCAGGTATTAAGATCCAAGAAGCTTGTTAGGAGCATCTGTAAGACTATTCCAAGTATTGGCTTAGGTCCTCGTATAAATCAATCCAGAGGAGCAAACTTTCTACTCTTGGTTAGCAGCAGAGTGACAACAGTCAAAGAAGGTAGGGGGCCGGCCCCATGGCCGAGTGGTTAAGTTTGCATGCTCCACTTCGGTGGCCTGGGGTTCACTGGTTCAGATCCTGGGCGTGGACCTAGCACTGCTCATCTAGCCATGCTGTGGCAGCGTCCCACATAGAAGAACTAACAACTAGCATATACAGCTAAGTACTGGGGCTTTGGGGAGGAAAAAAAACGGAAGATAAAATATTTATTAAATATTTTATAAATATATAATATAGTTATATTTATATAATTATATCTTTACATAATTAAATATTATATAAATATAATAAATATTCTTAAAATATTTGTTAAATATTTTGGAGTGCCTGCTTCTCAAGAGACACTTGTGCCCGACGCTGGGAAGATGCAAAGATGAATAAGACAGCATCCTGGCATCAGGGGTCTCCCAGTCTAGTTGGAGGATGGGGGACATGGTGGATGGGAGAGGCACAGCCATCACCAGTTGCTGTGCAGTGTGACAGGTGTGACCGCAAAGGGACCCCTGGCCCAGGGGCACAGAGGATGCAGACCATGGTGGGAAGGATTCGGGAGGGTGCAAAGAGGAGGGAACACAGGCTGGGTCCCAAAGGGCGAGTGTATTAGTTCAATTAAAGGCTCATGTTCTATCTCTAGAGGGGCACACGAAAGTGAAAGCAGAGGCAGGTTCCTGTTCTTGCGGTAGGGGAGCCTTTCCAGGGACCCAGACTCAGGAAGAATAGGAAAAACACAATCCCCTCGGTCGCAGCTTCAACAGGTAGTTCCTGAGTGTCTGCTCTGCGTCAGGCTCTGTGCTTGTGTTGGAGACACAGCAGGGAAGCAATTGCAGTCCCTGTCTCTCGGAGCTTGCGTCGAGTGAAGGGAGGAGACAGTAAGCGAGTGACCACCACAACGGACGGACAGTCAGATGGAGTCAGGCTGTGGAGGACAAGTGAGCGGGAAGATCACTCAGCTGCTGCAAACGCTAATGCCTTAAACCCAGAAGAGGCTAGTTCCCTGCTCGCATTCAGGATTCACGGTCAGTGGGGGAGGCTCATTCAGGGACCTGCCCTGACGGAGGCCTTGCCTCCTTGTGTTCGCAGCCTCCAGCTCCCTACCATTGACATTGTGCCAATAGGCTGGAAGAGGAAAGAGCTTGGAGCAGGCTTGGGGGCGGGTCTTACCAGCAAGGCCTGGAAGGGGGTGTGTCACACATGTTCACATTCCATTGGCTAGACCTCGGTCACGTGACCAAACCCAACTGCAAGGGAGCCTGGGCAATGTGGTCCAGACCTGTGTCCAGGAAGAAGCAGAGGGCCTGGATCTGGGTGAACTGCTAGGAGTCTGCTCACTGGGTAAGGGGAATGGCGTGTGTGGGATTGTGAATTTATATAGCAAGCCTTCATGAGCCGTTTCCTGCAGCGTCTTCAGGGAGGAAAGTATCGGCATCTCAAAGAGGATGGGGAGTGCTGTAGTTTCCCCAGACCAAATATATGGCGCCTCTGATGACTGCAGAAGGGGTGAAGTTGTCTCGGGGGCGGGGGCTGCACAGACCCTGGGTGCACTTACAGCCTCGTGGGAGAGATGGCCGTAAGCCTGCCTGCTTATGGACTTAACGGGGCTTGTGTCCTCCTAATTCTTCTTGGGGGAACCAGGCTTTCCGGGACTTGGCTGCCCAGATGCTGGTTACCTGCGATCCTTTAGAAACCCAGGAGCCAGCCATGCTCTTGGATCTCAACACCAACATCGGGAAGGTAGCTGAAGTGGGGAGTAGTGCTGTGCTGAGCACGTGACACGTCAGTCTGTGTTCCAGAAGCCCAAGGAGGGAGCGTGGTTCAAGGGCAGGCTCAGTGGGAAGGCTTCTTGGAGGGTAAGGGACTCAGGCTGGGCCTACAGAATGTCGGGAAGTTCTGCTTTTCTCCTCTGCCCCTTTGCTTCTGTCCCCACCCTCCTGCCCCAGTCTCCAGGGTGATCACTTCTACATCTTTCCAACCAACCAGTTACACCCCCCTGCCCCACCCTGGCCTTTAGGAGCTTGGTCAGAAAGCATGCTCAGGGCCTACCCCATGGAACCAGGACTTCATGTCTGGCTGTATATCTCATTCCTGAGTAGAATCCCAAGTGACAAAGCAGGGCACTTGGGGATGAAGGCAGCTTACTTCCCCGGTTTCATGTCTTCCTCCCAGAGTCATGTGGTAGAATCTTATTTTCCTTTTTTTTTTTTTTTTTTGGTGAGGAAGATTGGCCCTGAGCTAACATCTGCTGCCAGTCCTCCCCTTTTTGCTTGAGGAAGATTGTCCCCGAGCCAACATTCCACCGATCTTCCTCTATTTTGTATGTGGGACACCTCCATAGCATGGCTTGACAAGTAGTGTGTAGGTCTATGTCCAGGATCCAAACCTGGGAACCCTGGGCTGCCAAAGCCGAGCGGGTGAACCCAACAAGTATGCCACTAGGCCAGCCCCTCATTTTCCATTTTTAAGCCTTTAAAAATTCGCTGCTTTAGCTTTGCTGAAAAGACCTTCAAAACTCAAAGAGGAACATAACTCTTTAATCATGATTCGTTTCATTCACTATAACTACACAGATGTCGTCTATACATTTGTGTGTGTTTTATTTTGCTCTTTCTTTATATTACTCCACGGTTCCCCAGACCTCAGCCCCCTGAGTTCTGCTCCCAGGACGAACCCAGACAACATCAAGAAGGGACCTGGTGGTGTGTTTCTTTGTCTCCTTGACTCACTGCTCCTCCCTCTCTGCCCTGTCTTCCTGTTCGGTACCTTCCTCCCTAGCATAGCGATCGAGCACAGACTGTGGAAGCCACGCAGCCTCTGTCGGGATCCCAGCTCTGCCTTTTACCACCTGTGTGACCTTGGCACCTTACTTAACCTCTCTAGGCCTCTATATGGGGATGATAACAGTGCCTCCCTCATAGGGTTCTGGAAGGAGTCAGTGTGTCTGAAGTGCTCAGGCCAGTGCCCGGAGCACAACAGAGCATTAGAATAATGTTGTCGTTATTATTATTATTAATCCTCCTGTGGGTTTAAGCCAGAAGGAGGAGTCGAGTAGTCTACACATATGGTTCCAAGGCTCTGGGTGAATCCCAGACGGGCACATGTGGGCCTGCCTCTTAGTCCCTCCTGGGAGGAGGGAGCCACCAATCCCCTGAGTCCTTCTGTGGCCGTGGTGGCCGCAGTGGTGGGCAGCCTGAGGAGGAAGTGGGCAAGGGAAAGGCCCAGGGCCTGGAACCGGGGCCTTTTGTTGGGGTTCCCCACTCAGAGCTGAGGCGAAGGAAGGAGACGAGGGGATCCCCCTGAAAGTGGGTGGTCAACCTCGTCTGTGGCTCCGCTCGTTTGTTTTGAATGAAGAAGAGTGCCCTGGACCACCTCTGTGCTTCTGGGCACCTGCCTTGTCCTCTAGTTCTTTGTCAGGAGTTTCTTTGCAAAACCCTAAACCGGTCAGCTCAGGCTGGTTACGCCGCGGCAACAAACAGCCCTAAGGGCAGAGGCTTGTGCACCGAGTTTGCGCACACGGTCACGTGAGTGACCGCTCCCTGCTCCGCGTCAGCTGAGGCTCTTTACAGAAACAGCACTCTGTGGTCCAGGCTGAAAGAGCAGCTGCCTGGGGGCGGATGGAAAGAGAGAGACGGCGGAATTCCAGGATGGCTCTGAAAAGTTCTGCTCTGAGGCCGCAGGTGTCACTTCCCCTCACTTCTCATTGGCCAAAACAGGTTGGATGCAGGCAAGACACCAGTGGGATGGGAAGTGTCATCCTCGTGCTGGCATGTGACCGGCAGGGATGGGGAGCGACTATTTTGAAGAAGCATGACCATCTGCCTCATCCGCCGTCCTCCTCTGAGCTGCACTGAGGTGACCAGCAGGCCTCGTGGTGTCTGGGTCACCACTTAGCCTCATTCCGGTCCATCCGAGGCCAGATGGGTGAGGGTCGGGGCAGAGAACCAGCAGAAGAGACATTGGGGCAGGGACTTCGGGGACCAGGGAGCAGGACACAGGATGGAGAGAGTCCGGGCCAGCTTCCGGCAGCAGCCCTGCCCCTTTATGGCTGAAATTAACCACCTGGCTGGGGGACGTTAGCTCCTTTTTCATTATTCTGCACTCTTGAAGACGGTGACAGTGACACATTCATGTGATGGCATATTTTTGCTGGCTGCTAAAAAAAAGAAAACCAGTTGGCCCTGCCTCTGGAAGAGGAACTATGAGACAGTGGCGGGTGATGTGGTCTGGCCCCTGCAGGAAGTGACTGCCCAGCA